ATATACTACACACACACACACACCTATATATATATATATATATATATATAGATATATATATAAATACATATATATATACATACATATATATATATATACATATATATATATATATATATATATATTGTGGCATGCTTATATATACACCCCAAACCATTTCCTATACGTATGGCTAGATCGGCGGTCGGCTACACCGGTTTTCCATGGGTGGGGAATTTGTTCGGCACGGCACAGAGAATGTACTGGTGGAAACTAAGGCGCGCATGGGACTAACGGCGCCTCGAGTACCGTCACGTTTACTGCCCAGGTCGCCTGAACCACCGAGATCTCCGCGCCCGGCAAGTTGGGCTCCAGGTACTAAAATATGTATTTTATATATTCTACTACTATTCTGTGCGGAGGTTAGTATATGTACATGCCTGTATATGCACGTATAGAGTGTAGAATCCTGTGTCCGCATCTATGTGGCTATAGACAATAAACAGTATAACACTATACATATGTATATATGATGTTACTTTGTGGGGCTTACGAGCATATAAGGACCGGGGCCGATGGGGCTGAAAGCTGAATTGAGATTGCGTGGGGGGTTTCCGCTTCTAACACACATGTGTCTCCTTAGGATTGTGCGAGTTGAGTGTTCTGATACCTCCCATATTGCGTGCACAGTGCTCCCTCACCGAGACGGAGAATTGAGTATGCTGTCAGCCTGTACTCGCACCGGCTTGTATCGTGCTACCTTGTGCGTCTTACAATAGATCTTTTATTGCCCTTTTTCACATGTTGATAATCGCCAAACCTAATACTAATAAATGACACGACAGGCGACACTAGGCAACGAGATAGCCGTGCAGCTCAATCAAGAAGCGCAGGGGCTGGTGATACTCGCAGTGTTTAGTTGGCCTGCAACCTTTTCACACTCCATATACACGCAAATTAATCGCAAAATATTTACTACTATACAGGCACCAAAGGTTATGAAAGACAACTACGGAGTAGCAGTGCAGCGCCAAACAAAGACGCAGGGTCGGGAAGTACCAGCATGAGGCCGCGTTCTGAGTCTGCGGCTGTGGAACCGCGAGAGCTCCAACATAACCAGTACGTATCGAGGACTAATCCGAGCTCCCATCATCTGACTGCTGGTGTATCTTGGCAACCCAGTGAAGCTATTATGATCAAGGTGGGCATTGAACTATGCTGCGAAGTAGCAGTGTTGTATCTTAGAAGTGTGAATATGTCGTTTTTATTGTACCTTTGTGCTACAAAGTATGGGCTCAATTGAACTTTGTGAGGTTTGTGTAGGGTTTTAGGGTTTGTGAAAAGTTTTATTTTAAGTTTTAAGTTTTTGCTGGTCAGTGTGCACGTACGTAGCCTCTTAATTCATCTTTTTAGGAGGCTATGGTGTGCATAGCATTCCAGAATCTGCTCGTTGCGGGCGATTAAGCGATATTTCTGATCTACAACATATCAGAAGCGGGTCATCGCCACATTTATTGACGAATAGTACTTCAAAAGCCTCGAAGTTATATTTCCAGGCCCTACTATTATACGATTTCGTTTCAGAGAAGTTCTAGAGTAGTAGCTGCGTTGCGGAGCTTTCATGTTCGACGTTACAAACCGTCATTGAATGTTGAGATCTCCCTGCCGAAACAGAAGCGAATTGTCTCTGCCACTCGTTGTCATATTCCACTAACGTCTTATTTGTCTTTTTTTTCTTTCCCACTTTAGTTGCGAGCAGACCAGGCGACAAATGTGGGGGTCCTCCTCGCGCTGAAAACTTGGGCCAGAAACGGACCAAACGTCACGGTCGCTCTGTCTATGAGGGTCAACGCCCAGAATCCGAACGCATACCGAGCGGGAATGTTTGTCGACTTTCATAACTAAGTATGTCAGGGAAGATGGTTGGTTATAACATCGGCATGAATTTGACGCAACATTTTGCGTGGCAAGCAGTGTAACGCGTACGAGTGTACACTTGCATGACAGATACGCATAGCTCAGGCAGCCCAGCTCCAGAATATGCGGGATGCTGTATTCTGCATGCATAGCATAGTGGTACGTGAGGGCCATTTTGATACACCTGTAATGATGAAAGGTCCATTGCGAGTTGCGAAGTTCTTGTTGAGAGGGTACTCCAGACCCAGAATCCGTAGCCCTAGACCATCCTATCAGGCGTGCACCGAATTGCAAGGTCGGAATCAGTTGAAGGACCAAATTTCACCTGAAAATGAGTAGAGCACTGAATTTCGATGCAGAACTATGTATACAACTTCCACCCCAGAGAGTCAAGTTCAAGAGTAAGCATCACGGAGCAAGTACTCTTGTATTTACGACCACATTAGTGGTCAAGTTACTCTGTCCATCGCGCAATCTATCAATGCTAGATCTGCGCAGTTCTCCACAAAATTGACCACTGAAGGACTTACTGAGCCTGGAATTGTGACACAAGTCATGGTCCCGCTAATTCGAGGTGAACAGTCTAGACCACATTATCTACGATGATTGAATGCAAATCGGCAGGGATTTGATTTTAGAATCAGGTAGATAGATCTTAGTAAAGGCCAGTTGTATAATCTTGCCTTCTGCAATGCTACAGTGACGCTACTTGTTTAAAACAGCTGGCACTCCAGATCTTTTTTTTAACCTTTGGTAGGCCCGTTTGTAGGCTCAATATGAATTCAAATGTGATGTAGTGTATCGTATGCCGCGGTAAATTGCAAGCAATAAGTTAATATAAATGCTAAAACCTACAACTTTAACGTTTGAATACCGCCTATGCCCCTATCGCTATTTGAGGTTCGTAAACAGCAAATGCGCCGCTCATCTGGCCTTTCAATGGCAAGTCTTCCAATTTCATTTCTGGATGCGATTTCCATTTCCAAAAAAAAATCAGCGTTTTGTGGACGTTCGGGCGGTTCTGGCGGTTCTGTCTGTTTGGGCGGTTCGGCTTTTTTAACTGACAATTTTGTTTTGTTTTGTTTTGTTTTTTGCCACCATTACCACACATAGCCTTCTAAATTATACATTTTGGTTTACATACATCGCGTACACATGTGTGTGTGAGAAATGACTGTACTCCAGTGAATCAAGAGAACCTTAAAATTCTAACTTACAGTCACAAACGCTCAGTCGATATTTTCCTGTCAAGATGGCGGAAAACATGGAGACGAACACAGTGACAGAGGTATTGTTACTACCCCCACCTCCATCTCTAACGTATTCCCCACTATTTCTTGGGGTTCTATTAGCTGACCGCTCTGTATATGCACTATTGGAAGTATGCGAAACGCTTCCAAAATCCACTATAGCTACTTTAACAACTATCGCCGACAAACAAGAAAGCATATCACTATACTTTGTTGTCAGTGGAGGAAGGACACAAGCCTCAGCGTGTCTATTAGCCACGGAGTATGCATTAGAAGTCAAGCTAGGAGCTCCTTTAGAATCTTTTGCGTCGTTCACGAAGATCAACTTAGAGGTATACATAAATGAGTATGGGATTGTATCTGTATCCGCAGCAGAGGAAGTAGGGTTAGGAGTAACGTCCGAACCAACGGAACTAATATTCGATTTACAGAATCCTACTACCTGTAGGCCGGATTTTGACAGACATGAGTCAACCACACAATTGTATGATCCGGCTTTAGTCCGGCGCCTACCCATCAAGCTGCCGCATAGAACTATTGCGGTTTTGGATAAAGTATACACAATAAAGCAGCAATTCACAGGCGATGTTCCTGTCTCGCAACACGATCTTACCGGTTGTGCACTCTGGGAATCCGGGATAATTGCAGCCCATTTCTTACCTCAAGTATTTACAACAGCGTACCGGACTACGGAGGACAATAAGGCGAGTTGCCATGGTAACGACACACTCAGTATTGGCAGTTCAGGTCGAAGAATGCGTGTGCTCGAGATAGGCTGTGGTGCCGGACTCGTGTCTACGGTTGTGGCGGATCAATGCCCCTTTATCGACATTGTGGGTACAGATGGCGAGGAGCTTGCATTAAGGTTATCCGCTGAGAACGCACGCCGGAATGGAGTGAGTGTTGTCGAGTCACTGGATGTATGTAGTGAGAGGCCAGAACTGTGTACGCTAACAGATGACACTGTTTTTTGTTCGAAAACAAGTACAGAGAAGCCTAGTATAGCCAAAGTACAAAGGCGAACTACAATACTATGTCAACAAGGGCGAGTTATGTTTGCACGGTTAGATTGGAATGATGCATGTGGAATACAGGAGTTCACTAAACAACTAGGACCGTTTGATTTTATTATTGGCAGTGACCTGGTGTATCCAGCCGCGCCTATACATCCATTGTTGAACGTACTAAAGTCCACCATGACGAAGGAGACAACAGCTTATATAGTCACAAAGAACAGAACTGGCGAAGGAGACGAGTTCGTCGATAATCTGAGTACAGCAAAGTGGGTAAAGAATTTGACTATTCACGGCGCCGACGTCATATGTGACGAATTTCGAACTCAGCAAGCGAACTTTCGCAGTGTCAGTTTCAAGGCTGTGTATTGTTAAGCTCTACGTATTTTCATAGGAAAGGGGTGACTGTATAAGTGCTTGACTTATACTGCAATGAAACTGTTCTTGCAATATCGATATGACAGATGAAAACAAAAGTTTGAGAGCGCTGTCCGCGGCAAAATAAGCGCCGCGAGCCAAGTGTAGTCTATCACGCTTATGATTGGTGGTAGTGACTATATATGCTCGTGCACGCGATTATGCAATTTCGGACAGAGGAGCAATTAGTGTAGTCTGCTATTAACATATCGCTTGTGCGTTGCTGTGTCAGGTCTTAATATGTGGTTCCGACCCTTCATAGTCGAATATAACGTTATGTGGCTAGAGTGCGAAGTCGACCAACTTTTATTCATTATATTGCTCACTTTAACCTTGAACTAGACGTCGACGATATTTTTGATGAGCTTTAGACACAACTTAGAAATTGATAACGTTACAATTAAAGGTATGATATATGCGCGGCGCACAGTGCAGGTAGGAATAAAGCAAACGCCGAGATGGTCGTGTCGTACAAGAACGCACGGGCAATGATAATACATAGTACCAGGCTGAGGTGACTAAAAATAAATATATAATTCGATACATTGATAGACGTGTTTATGTGCTGCTGGCTCTCTCTCTCTCTCTCGTTATAGATTTGCAAGCGCAAGCAGATCCGAAACCCCTGTAGCCTGTTGTGTTTGTTCGCAAGAGAAGAGAAGAAATTGCACAACTGATATATAATTGTTTTTAAAAAAACCCGTACATAATACAAACACACGTAATTGAGATGGGTCATCTGGGCGAATGGGCATGTCTAGTTCTCTACTACTAAATTTAATAAATACTCGTGGAGAATCGACGAGTGCTTGGACAGCAAAAAGCTGAGAAGTTAGCAAGAGCTCTGTATGTTGATATGCGCCTTTGCTCTACCAAGATTAACCAATAACTTTCTATCATAAGTCATTGTTTCAGAGCAGATTCTACCTACATGGTTACTCATCCAACGGTCAAATTCTATTCACAAAAATTGAAAAACGTAGACTAGATGAGAAGTATATTTTAGGGGAACTGTAAAAGTATTCTGCGCACTATAGTCAGTAGTGCAGGTCCCCAGTGAAAATTCAAAAACGTAATTATATATACATTTTTCGCTGTAGCGCAGATCTCAAGGAGGTTTCGGCCCGTTCGGGTCGTTCGTCAGTTCGACATCGTTACATAAAAGCGCTAAAAGTACAAGCCTCTATCCCATTTATATAAATAAATTTGGCTTCGATTTTTGGTTGTCACATCACTCGCGTCAGAATCCCCACTTTCTTCCAATCCGTTTTTCGGTCACGATCGATTTGTATACGCTTCGTAGGCATTTATTTTGGAACAACAGTGGTGCAAATATTCTAAAATTGTATATTTTTAGAAGGCATAGCTGCAGATGCGAACCAAAATTCATTTTAAGAAAAGTGACCGGCGTGTAGAACAAATTGTACGGTGAACCGGTTCCTACGTAGATGTCAGCCAAAAAAAACCTTAAGAGCTCGTAGGTTCCTGGCAGGTTTTAACACACAGACACCCGTAGCCTTAGTGATAGGAGATATACTTACACGCATCTGAGTTTTCATTTACAGACTTTAGCCGACTCAGCCAACTTTGTCACACATGTTGTAACTTGTATACAGTATCCAACAGCATAAATGGTAACTAACTGAACTCTGAAATCCCAACTGTGTTTTACAGCTTCACCTGGGTCATATACTTGTGCGACAATTATTCAGAACACAGTGTCCTTTGACCACCGTGGCGTGTCTTACACAGCACAATTTTGTATTTAGGTGATTATCCACGGACACCTCCAATTATTTTAAAGTGTTACTTAGCAGCGCTCCGGTCATGAGTGCCGCTGCGGAAGATAGCCTCAAGCAGGCTACAAACGCGGTGGCGGACTACTGCCCTACTATTAATCTTCCAGTTTGCCTCAGCGGAGTAGATAATGTCGAGAGTCCTTTCTTGCTGTTACAGCAGATCTGCTCGCGTCAAAAGGTAAGTTTATATGATAATATCCCAAAAACCACTTGTTTCTTGCGCTGCCTCCTGTTCTTATGGTTGTCAGCTGATTTTGTGTTGCTTTTGGATCGCTTGGTTGACTTCTTGCATATTGTTGCCTGTTCTTGTTTTATATTTTTATTTTATGTTCCCTGTGCCTGTTCCTTATTCTGTCAGCTCATTTGAGTTTGATTGCTTTGGTTGGCATTTCGCTAATAGTCTTTTGCTCTTTTTATCTTTATATTTTGTGTAGGATTTGATGGTAGCACCCACCAATTTCTTGCGCGAGGCTGTGCTGTATGCAACGCGTGATATTGTGGATGCTGTTGTTTCTCAACTGTGGACTAGCTCACGTAGTCAGCTTAAATCAGCGGATCCGGACGGAGATACGGAGGTTAAGCTCGTAGAACTCAGAGCTGTTATACCTAGGAAGGTGCAATCAACGTTGCAGTGTCTACTACTTATTCGCTGGGAAGTTGAAAATAATACAGAATTAAGCAAGAAATTAGGAGAAGGCCAGAAAAAAGAAGGAATTGATCAGTTTGCACGCCAGAGCACACTGGAGAACTTACTGAAGGCTCTCGAATTGCTACGACAGCTCTTTGATGACCTCACCGAGTTATTTGCGCTGCAAGCTCAACAACGTGCACAAGAACCACCACTCTCGCGAATGTCGTATGATGGTACCAGTACCAACATGAACACAAACGTCAGCACGACTCTACAGAATCAGAACGGTGCCACAGGAATGAACATGAACAATGCGTTGCACGCTGCAGCACTCCAGCGTGCACAGATGCAGATGTCTGGAGGTCCTGGGTCTGGGGAGAACCCTAACTACAGCCTATTTGATAACATACCTGCGTTTAACACTTTTGATACACCCTACGGTATGGGACGCGATCCAAAGTCGCACTACTCACTGTTTGCAGACCCGGCTGCGGCCAAGCACCAGCAAACATCGTGGATGACTAGTAACATGTTCCCGGCCGAGACGAGGAATTTGTTTGCGTATCAACAGCAACAGAATGCGGAGCAACCGGTAGATAAGTTCTACCAGCGGTCGTCGGCCATGAGCATCCCCGCCATGGATGGGCGCAACTACAATGCGAATGTAGGACATTACCAGCAACTACGTAATCAGTCTGTAGAACACAGTTCTCCACGGTCGTCTATACCTATGGTGCGATCTAAGTCCACGTCTGCCTCACCTCAGCAGTTCTACTCATCGTCGCTTCCAACTAGTGCAATGCCAACGCGCAACGGTGCACATGGCAGTGATGTGCTGCAGTCGGCTTATGAGCAAGGTGAAGATGCCTTCAACTTCGATAGCATGGCCGAGTCACTGTTGGTCGAGGGACCCTACGACGATGCTCACACAAGTGATGCGTACTATGGGTCATCTGTTGGCAGTGGTAGTTTAGCGTTTAGTGCTGATAGTAGTAGTAAGCCTCAGATGATATCTGGCGACTCTTTCGTGTCTGCTGTGCGTAGAAGGGAATCTGTTGACACGGTTTCGCCCATCTCACCACAGGGAATTCCTGGCGTCTTCGATCCTATGGAAGACGCAGATGATATGACTGGTTGGGTGGAGCCGCCCGTACGATACAAAACTGCAATGTGCAAGCGCATCATAGATAGCTCTAAGTGTAGATATTCCAAAGCGTGTGGATTTGCTCACTCCGAGGGCGAGAAAGACAATTTCAGTCGTCTACATCTAGCTACTGTCAAGTGCCAGTTTGGCAGAAAGTGTCGCAATCCCACATGTGGACGCGCGCACACTCCACAGGCGCAGCAAGATGCCATGGCATTGTATGCAGAGGCAGTTGGCAGCTGTCGGTTGATAGTCGGGAATAAGAGCTAATTATTTCCTACCTAACGGTGCTGCTGGCGTCCCTCGTGAGTGCAAAACATATGTAGGTATAGAAACCCTATATACATATATATTTATGTGTAAATGCGAGGGAAGAACAGCTCGTGGAATGAAGCATAGCGGATCACGAGTGTCAATGCGCACGGTTGTGGCACTCATTCGTTGCCGTATATGTCCATAGGGAGCGGAGAGGAACTGTTGAGACAAATAGGCTCTCATCAGAAGTGACGCGGAAAGAAGCATATGACACTATATGCCTTGTTCGCGTCATAATTTAGGAAAATATAGTCTATAGTTCACCACTAACTAACACAACACGCAAGGACTACATATATAGCTGCAGGGAATAACCACCACACGAAAGTGGACAAGCACGTTTGTGTGTGTGTGTGTAGTTAGACAGCAGATTGATCCTGGACATCCAGCTGGTCAAGGCGTCTATGTAGTTCCAAAACCTGGTATCGGAGTATTTCATCGGAGACGACCTCCACAGTAGTTTCCTGCCGCAAACTGACATCCGCCGTATTCCCCGCCTTCATACGAGAATGTGGGGGCTTATTGGATGGTTGGGCGGCTGGTCGATTTTTTATATATTTATTTAGTTAGACACACATCCATCAACAAATAGTATTAGTAATATAATATAGGGAGTTTTTGCACCGTCAGGCGGTCTACTTAGACACTCTCCCGATACATACGAGCGTCGATTGAAAAAAATAAAGCAGTTCTGTTTCTCGATGTAGTAAAGTAAAAGGTTTATGGCACGGTCGGCAACCTTTCAACTTTCTCGTTTGCGTACGAGAAGAAACAGTATTGAATTCAGAAGGCTGAAGTGACCCAAAAGTATTTTGTCAAATCACAGGGTCTACAATTCTGCATTGATATAATTTGCAAATTTTGTCATTCGTGATACAAGAAGTGAACGTAAAATTGACAAGTCAGTTTAATCAATTTAAAAGTCTTGCATCATTTATGAACTACCATTCATTTATGAACTACCATTGTGTATTGAAGTGAACAAGCTACATATTGATCAGTTTGAAAGTCCTGTAGGGAAGAGATATTTGTTTCCATTCCTTTATGAACTACCCTTGTCAATTGAGGTGAAAATTGAACAGTTATCATACTGGTTGCAGAGCGAGAGAGGAACACAGGAATGCCACAAATATACCACATATTATCTCATAATATGATATATCCACCTGTATCTCGGTCAGTGCGTTGGATACCGTATGATTACTAATAGATCCACGAAAAATCTTAAGACGCTCAAAACGTCGACAGATTTTGGACGCTACCTCGGTTGCTACAACTTCTTTTCAACACTTCACTTGAAATAAATAGATATGTAATATACATACGAAACACGCATTGACTGGCGGATCCGTGTGCATATATATGTATGTATGTATATATATATATATATATATATATATATATATATATATATATAATATATATATATATATATATACTATATATACTATATATATATATATATATATATATATATATATATATATATATATATATATATATATATCTATATCTATATACTATA